GCGCTGACCTTTGGCCCTTTGATGTCGCCGGCCACGTCCACGTTTGGTCCTTTCAGCCTCAGGTCGACGTCCGGCGCGCAGAATTTCGGCCCTTTCAGTTCCGCCTCGGCGCCTTCCAGCCCCAGGCCGGAGCCCTTCGGCCCCACCTTGACCCGGGGGCCCTCCAGAGCGACCCCCGCGTCCCCCCCGTCCACGCCGGGGCTGGAGATGCTGAACTGGGGCAGCTTCAGGGACGGCAGCTTGATGGTGCCCCCCAAAATTTCGAAGCCGGAGTCGTCTGCCGGCGCCTGGGGGGATTTGACGCCGACGTCTCCTTTCAACTTTGGTCCTTTCGCGCTGACATCCAAATCCGGGCCGGAGACGTCCAGCGAGGGCCCCTGGAGGTCCAGGGTGGCCCCCGGGGACTGGACGGAGCCGGGGACGCCGCCCTTGACCTCCAGCGCCGGGGGCGTCACCGTGGGCAGCTTCACCTTCCCGCCGAGGCCGCCGAGGTCCAGGCCGAGGCCGGGCCCTTCCGCCAAGCCCGAAATGTCCAAATCTCCCTTTAACTTTGGTCCTTTCAGGTTCCCCTCCAGCTCGGGACTGGAGATCTGGGGCCCTTTGAGCTTCACCTCCGCATCCGGCATTTCCAGCCCCAAACCCGTTCTGCCCCCCTTGGGCCATCCCAGGTTCACCTCGGGACCTTCCAGTTGTGCTCCGGCAAGGCCGACTTCACCTTTCAGCTTTGGTCCTTTCACGCCGACGTCGACGTCCGGCACGGCGGCCGAGGGGACGGCGACGTCGATCCCGGGCCCCTTCAGGTCCCCCCCGATTCTCGCGTCCCCCGCGCCCACCTGGACCCCGGGCAGTTTGAACTTTGGGCTCTTCAGGCTCACGTCAGGACCTTCAACACCCGCGTTGAGGCTCGGGCCCTTGAGGTCACCCTTGACCTCCAGCTCGCCCTCGACTTTTGGGACCCCCACCGAGGCCTCCCCGCGGAATTTGTGCGATTTGAGGTCAAACTCAACGTCCGGGAAGGAGATCTTCCCAAACATGGGTTTCTTGCCTTTGGGGGACTTCATGGCGGCGTCAGGGCCGGCGACGTTGAGCTCCGCGTCCAGCTCGGCCCCCGCCGCGTTCACCTCGAACGCCCCCTTCTTCCCCTTCACTTTGGGGCCGCTCATGTGGATTTTGGGCATCTTGAACTTGCTCTTCTTCCCCTTCCCGGCCTCAGGGGACTCCACGTTCAGCTCGGCCTCGGGTAGATCCAGCTCCGCCTTGGGGCTTTTCATTCCGAACCCAAATTTGGACTTTTTGAACTTGGGAGCTTTGATGTTGGCTTCTGGGACCTCGACGCTCAGGTCAGGACACTCCACATCGACTTCAGGGCCTTTGACCCCGAATTCGGGGCCTTTGAGGTCGACCTCGGGGCCTTTCAGGTGACCTTCCACCTTTGGGGTGGAAATGTCAAAGCCGCCCTTGGTTTTGTGGCCTTTCAGGTTCAAATCTATCTCAGGCATGGAGATTTTGGGGACGTTCACGTGCATTTCGGGCATTTTCAGTTTAGGACCTTTCACTTTGCCCTCCAGACCTTCAACGTTGACCTCTGGCAGGCTGAGATCAACCTTGGGGCCAGACAGATCCACCTCGGCCTTCGGCAAGTTGACGTCCACGTCAGGAGCTTCGCCCTTAAAGCCAAATTTGGGCATTTTCATTTTGGGCAGCTTCACTTTTCCCTCCAGACCATCGACGTCGACCGCCGGGCCCTCAATGTCGACTTTGGGACCTTTGATGTCCACCTCGGGGCCCTTCAGACCCCCCTCGAGACTGGGGCCGTGCAGGTCAGCGTCACCTTTGACCTTCAGGCCCTTCAGGTTCAGGTCGATGTCGGGCATGGAGATCTGGGGGGTCTTGACATGAATTTCGGGCATCTTGACCTTGGGCCCTTCCAAGGTCACATCTGGCGCCTGAATGTCCACCTTGGGTCCCTTGAGGTCAACATCTGGGCACTGCAGGTTCCCCTCCAGCTTGGGGACGGAGACATCGATGTCCCCCTTGACCTTGGGGCCCTTGAGGTTGAAGTCAACATCAGGCATGGAGATCTTGGGGGCCTTGATGTGCATCTCGGGCATCTTGAACTTGGG